CCCCCACCACACTGAATTACTGAAACCACAACTTTTACAGATGCTGCTGCAATCAGCCTTCCCCACTCCCCCTGCCTTGTACAACCCTTGTGAAATTAACAAGTGCAAGTGGGGATTTGACTTAAGAGTTGTGACAGTTGTCTAACCTGATCTTTCACATGCACAAAAAGGACAGAGACGTTTTTTCCTTTTCCTTAGAAAAGTTAAGGGCACAAATTTAAATCAAGAAGTTCTGGTACTAAGTCTACATCTACACATTTAAAAAACGTGCATATATATATATATATATATATATACATATTAACAATTTATTTATATGAAAATTTTGTAAAAAAATTTATCTTTCAATTATTTTCTTGAAATCAACCTAAATCTTCACTACTACAATCCATTACATGAGTAATGATATTATCACATTCATAATTATTAATGTTAAATTTTTTAATTCAACTAACTATTAATCCATTAATAGTTAATTGAATTAGAAAAAATTTTAATTTAAAGAGCAATAGTCAATTGAATTAAAAAAATTTAACATAAATTATAATTTATTTTTAATTTATTTTTTAGAAAATATAAAATTATAAAAATTAATTTACAAAAAAAAAATTAATGTAATTTAAATTATGTTAAATTATATTGCATTAATTAATAATTAAATGAGATGTGAATCTTTAAATATTTAGAGTTTTTTTTATTTAATAATTTTTATTTTATAATTTAGTACAATATAAATTATAAAACAGAATTAAATTAATTTATATGGAGTAATTAATAAATAAAAACTCTTAGATATTGACTACAGTACATTGTCAAATTCAGAAAAGCGCTGAGTTCTGCCATGAATATTTCAAAAATTAAAAACAACTCCTTAAAAATTAAAGTTAAGTTTGAATCAACTTAATTTTTACCAAAAGGAAATCAATTCAAAAATGAAGAGTGATAATATCAATATATAATACCACGGCAATTTTTTTTCATCTAAAAGAAAAGTAAATGATTTACGTATAATTTTTATTTATATGTTTTATA